GGTGGAAATATTGGATGGCGCTTGGTGCCACAGACTCAGGGGGCCCCTCTGAGTGCAGTAAAATAGTTTTCATCAAGACAGGAACTTTAATTAAAATGTCCAAAAATACACTACCTAAATCACCCTCAATAGATTGCAGGCGGGATTCTATTTGCAGCTTATTGCATGAAGGCCGGGTTTTTGCGATTTTCCAAAAGTCTATGGGGAAAATGCATAGCTTTTAGATCGAGGGAACCCATTTTTCAAAGACCAGTGAAAAGTCAATACGGACATTTCCTTCATATTAACAAAGTAAATTTGTTTACAGTATACGGGCAAAATATATTATAATGATAATACATAAGTGATTAAATAAATGCTTGATTTCAGACAGAAACTTGAGCTGGACAGAACTGGATTGAAGTACAAATGGGAATTTGGGTCAATTTTTGTTGGATGGATGGGCAAAAGCCGGCTAGTTTATCGGAGTTCAGCACAGATTTCCATGACACACACGTTCCTGGATTTGTCCAGAGAGACAGTCACAGTTGTGTTTATGAGAAGGCTTCAGATTAGGTTCATTGGAGGTTCTCCTCCAATCAGAGGCGGTGTGATAGACCGCACCACCGAGACCAAACACAATCACACTGAAATATGGATTCAATTTAGCCTTCGGCCCCTCCTGCATGAATATATATCAGTTATATTAAAATCAGAACAGCACAAAGTGATTCACAGAAAACAGCAGAAGTATTTCAATGAAGGAGAATGGAAGCATCTGCCGGTAACAAGATGTTTATATGGGTCGCGTCTGAGACTGTTAGCGAGCGGCTTTAGCCTGAGCTTTGGATTACAATTAGTGTTTGTCAATCAAAAGTGAAGGCCATGCATATTCAATCTGCCGTGCAGGACATCATTTCACACTGACTTATGGCCTGTTATTGATTTCCTGATTTCAGCACATAAATGACGGTCGTTCTCACCGTTTATTCCGCTCCTGGCATTGTCAATGCTTAAGCGAATGTAATCATGTTTTCCTGTGAGGAAAAACTGTGATCTGCCACTCAACACACTTAAAACGAGTGGCGAAAGAGGGCCTGGAAATAGATGTCAGGCAGATTTGGTCACATTTGAGCCTGAAGGGTCTAAAAAGAGCTGCTGATGAGTGTTGAACGGTAAAGGACTTGACCAGGGGTGCGTTTCCCGAAGGCATCGTTGGTCGCAAGTAGGCTATATTAAATTGTTTCATTAAAGTAAAAGAAAAATGCATTCATTCTTGGTTTACCGTTACCGTTTTAAATAAATCAATAAATGTTAGGGCCTACTTTATTCTATAGCAGTGTTACTTTTTTATAGCAATATTTAGAATTTTATGTTAGTTAAATTTTTATTTACATTTTTGCCATTTTAATATATATATTATCATTGCATTTATCATTAAATATTTATCATTAAATATGCATTTATTCTTGGTTTACCATTTCCTTTTCTGCTAAATAAATCAATAAATGTTAGGGCCTACTTTATTATATAGCAGTGTTAATGTCGTTATATTAATATTTAGATTTTCATGTTAGTTTAATTTTATTTATATTTTTGACTTGACCAGGGGTGCGTTTCCCGAAAGTATCGTTAGCCAACTATGGTCGCAAGTAGACTATATTAAATTGTTTTAAGTAAAAGAAAAATGCATTCATTCTTGGTTTAACGTTTCCTTTTCTGCTAAATAAATCAATAAATGATAGGGCCTACTTTATTCTATAGCAGTGTTACTTTCGTTATATTAATATTTAGAATTTCATGTTAGTTAAATTTTTATTTACATTTTTGCCATTTTAATATATATATATATATATATATATATATACACTCACCGGCCACTTTATTAGGTACCCCATGCTAGTAACGGGTTGGACCCCCTTTTGCCTTCAGAACTGCCTCAATTCTTCGTGGCATAGATTCAACAAGGTGCTGGAAGCATTCCTCAGGGAGTTTGGTCCATATTGACATGATGACATCACACAGTTGCCGCAGATTTGTCGGCTGCACATCCATGATGCGAATCTCCCGTTCCACCACATCCCAAAGATGCTCTATTGGATTGAGATCTGGTGACTGTGGAGGCCATTTGAGTACAGCGAACTCATTGTCATGTTCAAGAAACCAGTCTGAGATGATTCCAGCTTTATGACATGGCGCATTATCCTGCTGAAAGTAGCCATCAGAAGTTGGGTACATTGTGGTCATAAAGGGATGGACATGGTCAGCAACAATTCTCAGGTAGGCTGTGGCGTTGCAACGATGCTCAATTGGTACCAAGGGGCCCAAAGAGTGCCAAGAAAATATTCCCCACACCATGACACCACCACCACCAGCCTGAACCGTTGATACAAGGCAGGATGGATCCATGCTTTCATGTTGTAGACGCCAAATTCTGACCCTACCATCCGAATGTCGCAGCAGAAATCGAGACTCATCAGACCAGGCAACGTTTTTCCAATCTTCTATTGTCCAATTTCGATGAGCTTGTGCAAATTGTAGCCTCAGTTTCCTGTTCTTAGCTGAAAGGAGTGGCACCCGGTGTGGTCTTCTGCTGCTGTAGCCCATCTGCCTCAAAGTTCGACGTACTGTGCGTTCAGAGATGCTCTTCTGGCCACCTTGGTTGTAACGGGTGGTTATTTGAGTCACTGTTGCCCTTCTATCAGCTCGAACCAGTCTGGCCATTCTCCTCTGACCTCTGGCATCAACAAGGCATTTCCGCCCACAGAACTGCCGCTCACTGGATGTTTTTTCTTTTTCGGACCATTCTCTGTAAACCCTAGATATGATTGTGCGTGAAAATCCCAGTAGATTAGCAGTTTCTGAAATACTCAGACCAGCCCTTCTGGCACCAACAATCATGCCACGTTCAAAGTCACTCAAATCACCTTTCTTCCCCATACTGATGCTCGGTTTGCACTGCAGGAGATTGTCTTGACCATGTCTACATGCCTAAATGCACTGAGTTGCCGCCATGTGATTGGCTGCTTAGAAATTAAGTGTTAACGAGCAGTTGGACAGGTGTACCTAATAAAGTGGCCGGTGAGTGTATATATATATATATATAAATATTATCATTGCATTTATCATTAAATATTTATCATTAAATGTGCATTCATTCTTGGTTTACCGTTTCCTTTTCTGCTAAATAAATCAATAAATGTTAGGGCCTACTTTATTATATAGCAGTGTTAATGTTATTATATTAATATTTAGAATTTCATGTTAGTTTAATTTTTATTTATATTTTTGCCATTTTAATATATATATATATATTATCATTGCTTATTTAGGTTTAATTTAATTTTTTTAGTTTAGTTTTTATTTGAAGTTTTATTTTTTATTTATTTCCAGTTAATAATTTTAGTGCTTTTCAGTTCATTGCAAAGGCAACATATCTAATTTTTTTTAGTTTAAAACAGATTTTTAGTTAAAGACATTTTTAGTTGTTTAGGATGAACTAGGTTTAGATATTTTCTACCTCTGGTTTAAATAGAAAATTACATTTAATCTGCAGCCAAATATATTAAGCCTAATAAAGTCTGATTGTAATTAACAAAAAAAAAAAAAAAAAAAAAAAAAATACCCACAGGATATTTTTCCTAGCATCCTCTAATAAATAAAGTCATTTGTCTCATGGAAAACATATCTTGCTAAACTTTGTGTTTATTCCATTTCTGACAGCTGTGTGACTAAAGTGATACTAACTAAAACAGAAAATATCTTGTGAAGGAAAAAACTACTGTAAGGTTATCCGAAGCTCAGCCTGGAGAATCTGATTGAATTTGATCATGAAATGGCTGAATATGACCTTTCCTTTCAAAGGGAATCTTCCGCTGGATTAATCGGGTCAGATGTTGATAGTGTACCGTGGGAAACTGGCTCAGGCGGGTATTAATGTCATGACGTTTCTGTGACAGTTTATCTCGTTCACACGTTCTTCAGTCCCAGCAGCAGAAACACCTCAAACACATTCACATTGTCTCTACAGACATTGCAGACTATACAGACAGACATTACCTGGGTCTGATATGAAATTAATGTTCTGTTTCAGTCCATCCTGTTTGATCAAATTGCACAAAATCAGTGTGATATCAACATGCTGAAAAATACCAAGAAATACAGTAGTGGCTAAAAGTTATATCTGGAGGGGGTATTTGTTTTAAATAATTAAACCATCAAAACATGAGGTGTGTGTGTAATATATATATAATATACACTCATTGGATTTAATATCATATACAATCATATATCCAGTTGACTACAAGTCTAGTATGTAAGTGATGGCATAATAGGGGCACTTTTTTAAATAATTAAAATAAAATTTGTACACCGTATAAAAGAAGCATGCCTATAAAATTAAAAACACAACCATATTTTTTTGCAGAGTACAGAATATTCTTCAGGACACGAATGACCCATGAAACGAACACAAACACCGAACCCCACCCAGTGTGATTTGCACGATTTTCTGTTTTAGATGTTGAATTTTGCATGTTTAAGACCATAATGAACATCATAATTACAAACTTAATCGGACTAGAGCAGTCGTTGTTCATACAAAACATCCTCCATCATGTTTGCTCTCAGTGCATAAAGGATACTGCATTGATTATGCATGTATGAGTCGATGAAATGCCTTCAAAATATCTGAGTAAAGTGAAAGCTGCCAGTGTTTATGATGCAAAAATCCCATTGAAATTCCTCTCCACACGTCTGAAAAGATAAATAGAAATCGAAGTGCAGCTTTTCAGGTTTCAAGGACTTGATCGATAAACTTTAGAGTCCTTTTCAATGAGTTAATACTGTAAACACAAACTGCAAACAACTCACAAGAGACTCAACTTACCTCACTTTCCAGAGCGTGTTGACTTCACATTAGCCTGGAGTAAGATCACAAAACATAAAATATACACCTTCTCTGCAAAATGATATAATAAAATGTACTGCTGCTTGTGGTTTATAAAATAATACAATAAAAATAAATGAACTGTTAGTTTATTTTCTATTGGGTCTTGAATGGCTACATTGCTCTGGATTAGCATGAATCAAACAAGAGCCCCTTTACAAATACATACATTAAGTTTATTCAGAAGTCAGTAGTGGATTTGGAGCAGTCAATGTTATCCATATGCACACTGTTCCTTTATGTGGCTTATACGCTTGATTGGCACAATGACTTTTAGTTGTTTCCACTCCAAATGAGAAAGAACAACAACTAAATCAATAAAAGATGTATGTAGGAATACCTTTACTGTCCCTCTCTTTAGAAAAATCAACCCTTTTTGGATAAAAATGCCAATTATTTATATAAACTGCATATAAAATGTACTTTCAAGAAAAGCAATAAAATAAAATCATATATACAAACCTCTGTACATAAATGTGTATATAGTGAGGATAAAAATATGTAAAAATGAGAGATCTTTGATTATGAACTGGTCGTGTGCATTAAAAGCATGTTCCCGACTACGTTCCCGCCTAAAGAGAGAAACACTACAATTCATCTTTAGTTTTAGCTAAACATGCACCATCTGCCAAAACCCCCAGAATTCCCTGCCTCCAGTTCCACTGCATCTATATTTGCAGTTGTCTGGAGTGATTTGAGATCTCGGCTTGGAGCGCTGATCCGGCGGTGGACAAGCAATAATCGGCCGTTATGAGAAGGGCTGAGGTGAGCGATTCATCATGCCACACTGTCAGGGATGTTGACGTAAAATCGTTGGAAGAGGGCCGATGTCTCTGGATGTCTCTGTTCGACACTGCCGTCTTCTCTTATTGGACGATGCCCGAGTCGATGGAGGTCTGCTTTCTCGTGGTCTTTGGAGGTGGAGGTGGAGGGGTCTTGCTGGGTAAGGGGGGCGGAAGGTGCTGGAACAAAAGAGAAGTAGAGTTTTTGAGACAAATGCAATTCTTCATGAGTCATTGAAACACACCGCTCAAATAGTGCAGCTTGTCTTTTACATTACATTAATACAGCCGTTCCTTTCTTCCTTTCCCAGTCAAGACCGATAATATGGTATCTTGATATGAAGATGTTTGAATAAATAAATAGTAATTTAATATTTTGTTCATTTTCACGTATAAGTCATAATAATAAAGTGATAGAGAAAATCGAACAAAGGAAAAAGAAAACCGAAGCAAATATGGTATCTTGATATGAAGATGTTTGATTAAATAAATAGTAATTTTATATTTTGTTCATTTTCACATACAAGTAATAATAATAACGTGATAGAGAAAATCGAACAAAGAAAAAAGAAAACCGAAGCATTTTAATTTATATACACCTCCATTCAAACATTTGAGGTCGATTTTTTAAAGAAATTAACACTTTTAATCCACAAAGATGCATTCAATTGATCAAAAGTGACGGTACTTTTATTATGTTACGCCGCTGTCCAAATAAATGCTGTACATTTGAACTATTCATTTTTCTAAGAATCCTGAAAAAATGTATTATGATTTCCACAAAAAAATATTAAGCAGTTTTCAACATTGTTAATAATCAGAAAAGTTTCTTGAGCAGCAAATCATCATATTAGAATAATTTCTGAAGGATCATGTGACACTGAAGAGAGTAATGATGCTGAAAATTCAGATTTGGTCACAGGAATAGATTTAAAATATATTCACAATATTACTGTTATTAATGTATTTTGATCAAATGAATGCAGTATTGGTTGAGCAGAAGATACTCAAAAAAAAAAAAAAAAACATTTTAAGAAATCTTACCAACCTCAAACTTATCAACTTATAAAATATTATTTTTTCAGACTGCAGTCATACAGTACAGTACGGAACAAACGGTTTCAACCTTTAACGGTTATTTCACTTCTAGCAGCTGCGGAGAAGTTCAGGTTCTCAGTTAATTAAAGGGTGTCGCGCATTTAGTAAAAGTAAAAACCCTGGAGAGAGAGAAAGAGAGAGAGAGAGGGAGAAATAAATAATTGTATTTATTCATTTACTTTACACTATTTATTTGTACAAGTAATTTAATTTAGATCTTATAATATTTTACTATTTTAAAGTGTTTATAATTATTCTACGTATTCCAAGCTTTGACAATATTGTATGATGTACAGTCATGACAATAAAGCAATTATTGAATTGAATTTGAATTTGAGAGAGAGAGAGAGAGAGAGAGAGAGAGAGAGAGAGAGAGAGAGAGAGAGAGAGAGAGAGAGAGAGAGAGAGAGAGAGAGAGAGAGAGAGAGAGAGAGAGAGAGAGAGAGAGAGAGAGAGACGAGCACTGGTGATTCGCTCTGGTCAGTGACAGCACACACACACACACACACACACACACACAGTGTTCATCTGCTCTGTGTTAATCATGACGTGAAGTGTCAACATTCCCATCAGCACTGTGTGTGTGTGTGTGTAACACACTGACATTCACTGACACTGCAGCTACACACACGCATGACCACAGATGACACATCACAGCACTTTACCCACTGATCCCAAGAAAAATATACTTTAATATGTAATGCTGTAATAAATTATTTTAAATATAAAGGTATCAGAGTTAGTACATATTCTAAATGTCCGTCTAGTTTGAACCTGCCGCTTGCTAGCAACTGCTCTCTCCGTGAAGCTTTGCATTCAAGAGCTAATAAAGTATTTTGGCTCACATCAATATTTCATGTCTAACTATTTAAATAGGTGTAATAAGCAGGATAATGTACATCCAGCCGGTTGTTATCTCAGGATAAACCCCTTCAGGTTCAAGATCCAAGACCTGATCACCCTGTCAGGGTTTATTCTGAGAGAGAAAACCCGGCTAGATGTAGATAATCCCTTACATGATTAGGGTTGGGTATCGTTTGAATTTGAACGATTCTGATTCCGATTCCGATTCCTTGTTTCGATTCCGGTTCCTAACGATTCTCGATTCCGATTCTTTTAAGAGGCAGGGTCAAAAAAGTTTAGCTAACCAACGGCCTTTCTGAAAGAAATACTCCTACTCCTTTTGTCACAAATTTAGCATTTTGCCGAGATTTCGTTATTTTTAGAAGAGTGAAGCCACACTTTGGATCGCCGACGTAAGGTACTCATGTTCGACTCGCGTGGTTATGCCAACACTTCCGGTAGACGCTTCTTCGTTGGTGTTGTTCAGCGGTTTCTTCATCGATATATCGAATATCGAAACTAGGAATCGAAATTTTAACTTTTGAACGATTCCGGGAAAAACGAAAAGTTAGTCTCGGTTCCAATCGATACTCGATTCTCGATACCCAACCCTATACATGATCATGTCAAAATAATGGAAATGATGATCATGAAAGCCTTTAACGGATGTTGATGATGCGTTATACCCGCGGGTGTGGCGGTGGAGGAGGGGGTGTGGTCGGACTGGCCAGGTCTGAGTTGTCCATCAGGTTTCCATAGTCACCCATGCTGCTCTTGACAGGAAGTGGGGGCGGGGTTTCCCCCTTATCTCCATAACCCGTCCCATTCAGCTCTAGATCTGCATAGAAACAAGACAGGAGTTTCTGTTGAGATCTGAATCATGATGCATGAAATGTGTGAATATTAGATAGCAACATATTAAATCGATCAGAATTTACTTTAAAGAAAGGTTCAAAAAGCACAGTTTTCAAGCAAAACATCAGTTCCATTGCAAAACAGTAAAGTTAATAAAGTGCATCTGAGAGCAGGAGATGTTTCAAGCAATGGCGTTCAGAGATTTTTACTTGTGAAGTGACACTTTTGAAGTATTAAATGCAATGTAAATGTGATATCTGCTGTTTGAGGAGGAATGCACGCTCGTTTTCCACTGAATAATCGAACACAGAGATGACGACACACACTGCAAACTCAGGATTCAGACAGTGGGCTGAACCCATGGGAGAGTAAACGCCTCGCAAAGCCTGAATCCATTACACATCTTCACAAGCGGAGAGTGGGAGACAGGATCGGACTCGCTTTCATGCGAGGGATTTAACACTTCTGCTAGTCTCCCAGAGTCCAGAGTTTCACATCACAACATTACGTTTGTGTGGCGTCAGACTACAGCATGTTAGGGAGCATTTGATGTCATATATTGGGGGTGTGGCTTAAAGTGATTGTTCACTGAAAAATTCTGTCATAATTTACATAAACTAATACAAGGCTGAGCAAATGATGACAGAATTTTCATTTTTGGGTGAACTATCCCTTTAAGGTGGGAAAAGGAAATCCCAGTTACCACATGAGGAAAATGAAGGAATAATAACTACTGTAAAAGTACTGTAAAAGATCTGGATGATTTTTTTCTGCTTTTAATAAAGCCAAAAAAAAAAGTTTAAAAGATTTGTATTAATCTTTTAACGGTTATTATTAAATTAAAAATGAAAGTGTCACAGCCATTCAAAAGTCTTACCAAACGCACACATTTGAATGATAATATAAACCAGACTGAATGACTTGGATAGTTGTCAGCAATTTCAACTTCTAAAATATAATTTTCTGATTTATGTTGATTATATATCATCAGAGGACAATATACGACGCCAAAACTAGTGCTGCTGTATTTCAGTAGATCAAGGTCATTGCACTTTTATTTAATATTTTAAATATGTAACGAAGTCTGCTGGTGTTCAGATGTGTGATTAGATATCTTGCTGCTGAATTTATTCTATTTGTCTTTCAGATTCCTTTATTCAAAGGATTGGCAAAACAAATCTTTGTGGATTTTGAACTACATTTAAATGTTTTGGAGTGTTTTATTCCCAAAATAGCCCAACCTTTTGTGGCAAAACTCACCACCCGGTTGCTAGGGTGTTCTGGGTGGTTGCTACGGTGTTCTGGGTGGTTGCTAGCCGGTTGTTAGGGTATTCTGTTTGGTTGCTATGGTGTTGCTATGCGGTTGCTAGTGTATTATGGGTGGTTGCTGAGGTGTTCTGAGTGGTTGCTAGGGTGTTGCTACTGTAGGTGGTTGCTAGGGTGTTGCTAGGCGGTTGCTAGGGTGTTCTGTGTGGTTGCTAGGGTGTTGCTGGGTGGTTGCTAGGGTGACGATAAAATGTTCGCACGACGAGGACGTTCATTTGGCGAATTTAAACTAGCCTTGTGTATAGTTGGAGCTGCAGGTATATGCCATAAAAATAACAATATAGTTGCAATGATATGCGTCGTTCGTTCATGTTGTCAAAGTAACTCGCCGAATTGACAACACACTGATGTCAGACGCACGACCATTTACAAACCAATCAATGTGGTTCCAATATCCAACCAATCAATGTCAAGATGCAGCCCACATAGATGATGACGACAGGACGCAAGTCACGCAAAGTTCTTTAGTGCGCTCGCATAATCGCAGTGTGAAACCAAACCAAAACTTTCTGAAAGTATAAAACGTATCAAAAACGTGAACTTTGGTTCGGACCTTGGTGCGGACTTTCAGGAGTGAAAACGCACTTAACTACCATAACCACTGTATTAATCTCCCACTGGTGGGCGGGGCTTCCTTGCTATCTATCCTAGCTTGCGTTAGCAAAGCATGCCAAATTTAATTATATTTCAGAATTAAACTGAAAAAGAGTGTGATGTACGACACATACTGGATCCAGTCAGTAAGCTGAAGTGCAGTTTGACCCGGGGGGTGATGGGAGGCGGGGCGTTGGGAGCAGACGGGTTGGCAGGGGCTCCGGGGGACACAGAGAGTCTTTTCTCACCCAGTAAGTTGATCACCTGACTCTTCGGCCTCTGGGGCCTCAACGGACTGATCTGGAGAGATGAAAATATGACAGATAAATACAAGAGAGTGAACCGCTGCTTCTAGCAATCGCCATTCAAGGGATTCAATAAATCAGGACTACAAAAGACGACCATAAAAGTGGAAGTCAAACTTAAGAAAGCGCCTAGCTTTATTGGTTCACATTACATTAAACTGTCAGCTGGTTGGTTTTGACATTGGCTGTCATGAAGCCATTATAACTTTTTAATGACAAATTCAATTAGTGACATGACACAGTTATAATGCCTCATGACAGACAATGTCAAAGCCAACCACATGACAATTTAACTTCATTTTATGTCACGTTGTCATGACAAAGACACTGACAGGTTATGATGTATTGGTGTATGTCAAGATGTCATAACAAAGACATCTCAAACAATGTCATATTTGCATTAAAAATGTCATTATTGAGCGAAAGAGACTTAATGACAGTTGTCATAAACATGCATAAACCCTACTTCATATTCATAACATATGTCATGTCATGGTTATGAAGGTGTAATGTCAGTCTTATGCACACCCCTTCAAGTAAAGTGTTACCAAATATAACAGAGTAAAGAACAGCAGTTCAAACAGCTCAGGTCCATTTGCATGAACATACAGGTTTATTTAATGCATAATTCAGCAGGAGTGAAATAACATTTATGGTAATGTGCAAAATTATGAAAATCTGCAATCGAAATCAATGAAATTACTATTTTTTTTAGCAGAAAGATATTATTTGGCATCAGACGAGGACATTAACAATAACTAAGGTAAAACAAAGTTAAAAAAAATAAGCAAGTGGGCTTGTTATTTCTCTTTATCCGTTGAATGGTAGAGGTCAGCAGCCTTATGAAAGGGTCATGGGTCATTATGATGATGTATAAAAGAAACCAGAAGGTCCAGGGCAGAGTAATTACACGCGCTAGTTTCCTTTATTCAGAAGCGTACGGTGATGTGCTTCTCTAACTGTGATGTCTGTGAGGCCAGTGAATGACTCAATTTATTCGTATTATGTGCTTTTGCCGCTCGGGGTCATTTGGTGTTCATACTCAGAGATTGAAGAGACTTGCGAGTGCAGATTCAGATTCAGCCTCAAAAAGACTGATTAAACGGAAAGCAGGCAAATGAAAGTCTTTGGGTTTACAAATAGTTTCTATTTCTGATGCATCATGTGGTAAGTGTACTTTAAATTGCTTGATAGTGGAAACTTGTCGTGGCAGTGAATGATGCGCAGTGTCAGTGTGTGTGTTTATGAACAGATACTCACGGTCTCTGACAGTATGACCGCCTCACTGGGCTGCTGGGGTATATCAGCGGTCTTCAGTTCCTTATCAAACAGCTCCTGGTGTTTACTGTTCCTCTTCTCCTTCTTTTTCTCCTTCCGGTCTTTCTCAGGTTCATCTCGATCCAGTTTATCCTGGGACTTACAGTGCTGCTTCTTTGGTAAAAGAGGCTCCAAGGCAAATCTATCCGATGAAACAGAAGAGGAATCAAATGAAAAGAGGTGTACAGAGATAATTGAGCGGCGGGTGCGTTTTATTGGATAAGACGTCTGGGCTGTTTAATATTAGAGAGAAGCCTCTTATGAAGTCTTGAGCAAATATTAGCGCTCATTTGACGTTTAGCTAGCTCCAAAAAGCACATTCATAGAGTACAGTCTCTAGTGTCATGGCAACCAACCATATTAGTTTGTTTAAAATAATACATTATTTTTATTTCTGAATCTAAATTTTTTTTTTTTTACTGCTGGCCCTGTTCTTAACTGTACTTCCCTACATTTCCACAGCCATTCCCACAGATTTTGTGCTCAAACTCAAAGTGTGCACACATAAACCTGCTTCTCTGAACTAAATTGAGTTATTTTAGCCGCTTATTGCACGTAAAAAGTCAAATACAATTAAATTGTCTTCAAGTAATCACAGTCAGTTATGTTTTAAGTGAACGTGAATAGTTGAGAGAAGTTAACAGTATAACGGATCCATGTGCCATGTCTTAAAGTGACAGCAGCCTAATATACCTGCTGGCAAATTATGATATATTATTTAAAATATCTATATGGCAGTTTTCCCACCATGATATCAAAATTGTGGCTAGTAAAAATGCAGAGTGGCTGGTAACTTTGGAAAACCACTTGGTTTTAAACCTTTTTATTTGCAATGGCAGCTAGAATTTAATTTTCGACAATATTCAGCTATAATGCAACTATATTGGCTATAAATGACTCTGTAAAAGAATAACATACAGTGATCTGTTTAAGATTTGACACAGCTGAAATGATGCATGGAAATATATCTGTCAGGTAACCGACGATACCTAAATAACTAAATCAACAATAAATAACTAGGGCTGTCAAACGATTAATCGTGATTAATCACATACAAAATACAAGTTTGTGTTTACATAATATATGTGGGTGCACTGTGTACAATTATTTTATATTTATAAATACACACACATGCTTTTCATGTATATACTGTATAAAGATTTATATATTTTATTTAATATTTATTTAATATTTTATATTATATATAAATATTTTATATAGAAATAATATTGTTTTATTAAATATACATGCATGTGTGTGTATATATACACGCACAAAATAATTATACACAGTGTACCTATATGTATTATGTAAACACAAGCTTTTATTTTGGATGCGATTAATCGTGATTAATCGTTTGACAGTCCTACAAATAACTAAATCAACAAATAAATAATTAGACCAACAAAATACGCAATAACAGCGTTTAATAAATCAAAGAAAAGCAAATGTTTAAGTTTGCAAAGCCCAAAAGCACATGACTGATGTAAGATTCAGCGAACCCGATCTCATGCAAGTGAGTATCTATACAACAAATGTTATTTCTCGTGCGATTTATACGTCAAAATTAGTTTTTGCGTCTATATATTACTCAGTTTTCGCATGCATATGATAATACGTACGCACTCCCCCCCCCCCCCTAAACCTACCCTAGGGGTTTTCAGTGTGTAGCATATGCACGCAAAAAACATTTTTGACGTATAAATGGCACGAGAAATGACATTCATGGTATAGATACACACTTTCATGAGACAGTGTTGGATGCAGCAGCACCAACTCGAAGCGCCCTCACACCAACTTCATCCTGATCTGCAGTTTCACAGTCTAAATGAAAACTACAGTAAGCATTACAGTTAGCACAAATGAACGTGAACCTAGACAGCTCAATTCGACATCACTGTTAGACTTCAGGTTCATAGATCAGAACAAACTAGTTTCTTAAAAACGCAGTGACGCTGGAGAGAAATCATACACCATCCATGCAAAAGTGAATAAGCGTGTGTGTGCATCCTATCTGCTGACCTGCCCGATAATGAGACTCACAGGCGGTTGTGTAAAGCGGAAAGCAAGGAAAAGGAAAAGCAGAATGTCTGGCTCTCATAATCAGAGTCTTGGGCTAAAGCGAATCAAAGTGTTTTAATGAGGTGGATTAACTAATCAAATGAAAGCTCAAGTGAAGTGGTGCCCTTCACAATTAAATACCAGCGGAGGGCATCGCTGATAGAATCGCTCTCTTCAAACACGCACTAATTAATCCTTCAGGTTGGCATCTGTGTGCCTGCCACGCTAGACTGGCACCAACCTTTCAGGGTGTCAGAGTAAAGAGGCCGAATAAAGGACTAAGACCATATGTATTACAGTGATTTTAACACAGGTAAAAAGTTGGACACACTTAACCCTTAAATGCTGTAAAATCACTGAAACGCATACTGTCCTCAGATCAGTTTATGTCTGTTTTACACATATAAACCCATCTGATCTGATCAGCTGATGAACTGATGGAACATGATCTTGGAGGACATGTGACGTGATTCAGATGAGAACAGACCGCCCACAGAGAGACAAGATGGAAATGACAAACTGCGGGAAAGAAAATAACACACACTCCAACCTATGAAGTGTTCCTGTACTAGTCCTCCAACCGCTGAAAGAAGAAAATAAATCATTGTCAAGAATCCAGCCAGTTTAATAGAGGTCTGAATCAATGGTCTCGTAATAAGAGTTTGTTTTTCCAATGCTTGGTCCTGATATCTAGCGTAGAGAGAGATTTCAATTCTTCAATTTGTGCTTCTTTAAAATTAATAATCCAACAATATATGTGTGTGTTGGAAATAAGAAGTAAAAGGTTGAATCTCAGACACTGATCCAGACCTATGATAAATGTATTCATTTATTTAGTTAGTTATTTTGATCAAAAACACAGTAAAACCAGTAATATTGTGAAATACGTTTAAAAGTAATGTTTTATATTTGAATATATTTTAAAATGTAATGTATTCTTGTGATCAAAGCTGTCTTTTCAGCATCATTACTCAAGTTTCCAGTGGCACATGATCCTTCAGAAATCATTATAATATGATTTACTCTTTAAGAAACATTAGTTATTATCAATGTTGAAAACAGTTGTGCTGCTTCTTATGTTCTCTACTGGATTACAAATGTATTTATAGTCACTTTTGATTAAAGTTTAGATTTTTGATCAACTTTGATCAGAATATATAGTATACATCTCCTTTTGTTCTGGCTGCTCCCATAAGGGGTCGCCACAGGTTTTATGACGCAACCCAGCACTTAGACTGTGTTACATAAGTATAAATAAAGGCGAAATATCTGCAGATATATTGTTCTTTCAGTCTGGATCATGTGTGTGTGTGTGTGTTTACCCGTCTGATCCCGGTCTGGAAGGTGAGTTGTCTGATGATATGGAGGTCACAGACGCGACGGACAGTGGCCTCTGAGACGATGGCATGGTGAATGAGCGAACCATTGAACGTGGCCGACTTCCCCGCCGCTCGTCTGACATGGGAGGCTGAAACACACAGTTCAAATATATGACACGAGCACATCACAGCATCTCAACAGTTTTTAAAGCCAATACTTGCACCAAAAAAGTACATTTTATCATTTTCTAACACATTAAAATGTAAATGACCTCTGTTGGGACTGATAACATCTATAAGAGTATAAATATGCCAATATACACATTTTTCGGACCACTCCCTTGCTGTTTCCACCAACCAATTTCTGTGTGCATTTTGGGATATCGCATAAAAACATGTGCTCTGAATTGAGGAGGATATTTTTTTTTTTATCCATTAAGAAGGTATGCGCATAAACTACGTTGGCTACCGATTAACTCTTTTAGATTATTCTTAGCTAAAAACACTTAGTTCTTTCAAAAATATATGTGCTCATTAATGTATATTTACGTCATTCAAGTAATAAAGTACTCTCGTGAGTGTATAATATGCCATTGAAAATATGCATACGAGTAAGGGGTTCGCCATGTTGCCCCTCCATCTTGAAAGTACATTAGCCAAAGAGGGACATACCTGTTGATTCAAGCTTCGCCTTTCGCTTTTACGTTTGAGTTAACACTCATGGACGAGGTCCAACAGGAAGCCATGTTAATCTTGGACTACATTGGCCACCGTAGGAGTTAAAACTAAATCGGAATTGAGAGGAACAGAAACTAATATTCCCTGGATGGTCATATACCTTTTCACCACTAGGTGGGGATAAAAATCACACAGTGTAGCTTTAAATCCCTCAGAGGGGATGATTGGATAACCAGCGGACCAATCACATCGCACAGGATCCCAAACGTTGAGCCAATGTCTGTCATCAGAACGGTTGAGTATAATAAGCTCTCTTTGTGTTCCCAAACACCAGGCGCTCTGAACACAACACTACAAGACTGTTTATTTGAGTCATTTATGAAGTCAGAAAAAGAGCAACGTCTTCCCTGATTGGAGCAACTTCAATTATTATTACAGAATACAGATATTTGGTGCCAATTTCCCAGGAAGTGCCAATTTTTCTCTCTTGAGTACATGAGTTTGGATGAAAACACGGACACACTTCAATTCCTGCAACACATGGGCCAAACTCAGTGTGTGTTTGCTGACCTCTTTCTATGTGTGAATCTCTAAACATTTATGTGTGAATATGAACCCCTCATCCCTTTCTTATGTTCCTCCTCTCGGTCACGTTCGCCCTGCCTGCCCTTGAAACGGATATGTAGTGCACGTCACGTTCTCAAACTTTCACACACTGTATAGGAGGCATCGCTGCTAATTCTAGCACTTTCCCAGAGCGAAGTGATCAATATCTGTCAGCTACTGTAACTATCTGTCTCTCTCTTTTTCTACCCGTCTTCCATACTCTTTTGTCCCCGTCTCTCATTCCCTCCTGTGGACTCCCAGCATTCTCTTTTCAGACTGGAGGAAAGTAGCGATTGAGTGTGTATAGAAATGTCTTTGTCACAGTTAGAAACACACACACATTCACTCAGTGTGTCTCAAAATACAGCTGTGTGGAAATTTTCCAATCCCTCGCTCTACTTTTCCTGCATTCATCTAAGACGGCATTAAATACTGTAAAAATGCCACAGCCAAGTTGCTGAAGAGTATTTAAAATATAAAGGTTTATATGTAATATTTGCCAATGAGCATATGTTTATGACATCAAATAGCATGAAGAGCATGCTCTGGTCAAGTACATCAAACATTATTTCTGAAGAGCAATACTATATGTGATCATATCATGGAAAACAGAATATTTAATCTATCACTCATCAATTAACAACAGCATTAAAACAATTGAAAAACTATAGTTTTGCTACACAACTGATTTTCTACAGCATCAGGATGTGAATATAAATAACACTGTGAAAGGAAGAGAGTAAGATGTTTAAATCTGCATATGGGTCATTATACAAATTGCAATGGCCTTTCAATCTGATGTGTTTTTTAAGAGACTCATCAATCATACATTAAAACTACTATGCTATATTAAGTCATTTATCTTCTTTATAATATATATTTTTTCTTTTTTAAGTAGATGTTCCATTGACTGACATGCTCTTTTGTCAGTGCTGTTAGACCTACTTATAGTTAATGACTCTCAATAACACCAGCAATGAACTACACGATTATGTTGGGGGAAGGCATTACAAAAATTACAATTTTGATGATAAACCATCTTAATGTGAATAACAACATATGGATTAAACCACTGGAATTACTTTAAATATATAAATCTTTGGGCTTTCAAACGATTAATCGCGATTAATCGCATCCAAAATAAAAGTTTGTGTTTACATAATATATGTGGGTGCACCGTGTATAATTATTTTGTGTGTATATATATATATATATATATATACACACACATGCATGTATATTTAATAAAAAAATATATTTATATGTAAAATGATTCATATTTATATATAATATAAATTATATATATATGTATATATATACAGTATATACATGAAAATATTTCTTAAATATATACAAACAAGTCTTTGTATTTATATATATAAAATAATTATACACAGTGCACCCACATATATTATGTAAACACAAACTTTTATTTTGGATGCGATTAATCGGGATTAACCGTTTAACAGCCCTAAAAATATGTAAGTTTGTAAAATTGCACGTGGACATTTTCTTACTTCAAATAATCATTTAAAAGTTAAGTTCCTCTCCAAAATAGTAACCTTTCCATAATTGAACCTTTAATAATAATAATTATAATAATCCTTAATGAATTAATTTTAAACAACAAAATGGTTAAATACTTAGTTTAAATGTATTAGTTTTTAGATGCATATATTTTAATACTGTAGAAATATGAAGTACATTATCTTTTATACAGATTTTTTAAATTAGCAAGAGAGCCTTATTAAAGCAACTCACAGCATTTAACACCGTAATTGCACAATGACCCATAATCATCATAATCATCTGCCATGACTTTATTCAATAAAATATAGTGCTTGTCACAATGCATATCATTATAAAGAAGCTAATCATTATAAAGCAGCATATTTCAATAAAAATGCCTTATAATCATCAGTGAGCAAGTCAGAACGGGGTCATAAGGAAGAAACCATGAGTGGAAACCAAGTCCCAACACCGACTGGATGACAAATGCAGACAAACATGCAACACATAAATATGTAGTTCATTTAATTCAATGATTACTGAATGTGATCTGCTTGTATTGTGAGGTAAGAGTGCATCCTGTGGTAATGTGATGCATGCATGCGAGCTGTGATGAGGAGCATCCATGTTTTGATGATTATTCATGAATGATGAGCGATGACTACATGATGGATGATGATTACGGCTGAATGAATGATGAAGGCATGAAGCATGATTGGAAAGCGAGTGTATGCTTGGACTCACTAGTGTTCTGACGCCGTACTGTTTCTCCACCTTCTCTTTGAGCTGTTTGAAACATGCCTCCAAACGCTCGTGAAACGGTCGTAGCGCCTCCGTCACCTTCTCGCCGTGGATACGAACCCCTTCAGCCAGGTTCGGGATCTGAATGAGATGCACACACAGATGTTAAGCCACAATGTTAAAGGGCTCCTATTATGCTTTTTTTTTACTTTATTTTAAAGGATTTTTCAAGTTAAAACACAAAACAAACAATGGCTTTGACTACACACACTCACAGGAGAAGAAAAAAAAAAAACATTAGTACATTAGTAAAAGGCTGCAGATCAGACTAGGTGCCCAGAGGCCTATTATGCTTTTTAAATGTTCATCTTTCTTTAGTTTTTGATGTTGCTGTTAGAGCATTACAAAACGTCTGCAGTTTCAAAGTCTCCACACAAAGGAAGTTATCATCTATATCAGTGTCAGTGAACTTCCTGAAACTCCACTGTAGTCTTGAGTTTTCTTCCCAGAATGAATACGTCATAATATTCCTCATTTAAATAATTAATATACGCAGATTAAAGGGGCAGAGCCTGGTTGAGTTAGTAAGCAGTTGAAATTCATGGTTATGGTAAGGGGAGGGACTTTTCCAAACACGCTCAAAGCGCTTGACCAATCACAACACACTGATCCAGTCGACCAATCAGAGCACAGTGTGCTTTTCAGAAGGAGGGGCTTCATAGAGGCAGGAACTAAACATGAATAAACTAGGAGACTCAGGAGTGAAGCAGCTTTCTGATCTACTGGCGAATCCTCACTGTAAACTGGAGAAACTGAGGTAAGCGTTACTGACAGACTGGGAAGAGAGGAGCTGCAGCAATGGAGAATATGAGGAAAATCATCAAAATTCCAGCAGGAAAACCTGTTCTAGTAGAGCCTGAAAACAAAATCAAGACTGTAAAAGGGCATAATACGTCCCTTTATGACAAAAGTCAAGCTTACTAATCAAATAATTGTTTATTATGCCTGACCCACCCACCCCTACTACCCATGATGCAGTGAGACAGAACCTGCGCTTCTTCTGGACTGATTTACTGAAGCCTCTCAGTTGCCTGTGAATCAAGCGCAGTGATTCACCTCAGCCTGAAATATCACTTTGAGGTTCAATTTTCTGTCTTCTACATAAAACCTCTGGTCTGACAGACACATAAAACAAGAAAACAGCCACTAAAATACCAACGCTGGGTTTATTTGCAAGCCATAGAAAAGACATATCATATTACACAGGATTTAAAACAAACCTTTGTGGACGAGCATTCATCACACAAAGCACCGCGAGTCTCCTGCTCGTCTGAATGTACAGAGAGAAGTAAAATACACCACAATCAGACGGACACACTCACACACACACACACACTGAACTGCTCAGCTAATTGCAAGGAGAAGTGTTGCTGTCTCCAGACATTAGGAGAGCATGAAGTCAGAGTAAATCAGAGAGCTATAAAGATGAGATATGATGAGGTTCAACTGATGCAATGCAGCGCAATGGAAAAGAGCACTTTCTCTGACATGTTCATCAACCATGAAAGTAAAGACATCAAGCTTCTCTTCAAACTTTTGACATCTCAAAATATAAGGATAATCACTTTCTGCTTTACCTTTGAAAGTACATAAACATACTCTGCAGCTAAGGTGTTTTTTTTTACCTCTTATTCAGTTAGCTTTTCATTAAAAAAAAAAAAAAAAACATTTATTTTTCTGACCAGATTCTGGCAGATATTTGTTAATGTTTTAAGCAAAAACTTACTGCACTATGATCCATTTCTTATATCTTATAGCATTTGTTATCTTAAAGGGTCATTCCACCTCTGGAAAGATAAATTTGTATTTAAAATGGGTCATTTATGTCGAAGAAATGTGAAATTATTTTTGAATTTGGAGCTTTCTAGACTGAGAAAAGCCAGAAAATGTATTTTTGGCTGATGTGGATGAAAGACAACAACTCCCACAATGCACTTGCTTCGCCGCCCTAGGAGGCCACGCCTACCGGTAAAAGAGAGGAGTAGTTAAACATTGACTGGATTAGTTCCGCCACTTGAAAACATGTTTGACGGCCTGACATTTAACTAACATGACCATAACAGCTGTGAAAGAAAGATAAAAAACAATTGTAGACGAAGACAGTTTATGCTAATTAATTCTATGGCGCCCTTCAGCCCTGATTAGATTCACAATATGAAACTACCTTTTCAAATTTACTGCGCAATTATATGAACGTAAAATTCATATAGAGACGCACCGTTTGCTCAGAGACAAAGTGCATTGAGCCTCCTGCAGTCCAACAGTCATGACATTACAGGAGAGAGACAGAGGATTCCCACTTTAATAAGGGTTGTTAGCGCCGCAGGGAATTTCTGAAGGAGACAGAGATATAGACGGATAGAGCGAGAGAGACAGAGCAGCGCTTGTGTCTCCAGGGAAACCCAGACCTTTCTAAAATGATCACAGTGACTGAATTCTGGGTAGGCGGCATAGCAACAAAACTGCTTTAAAAGGAGGCTGCCAAATCACACAAACACGACTACAAATGCACCTCATCAACTAACTTTGACTAAAATAAAACAGATCAGCACATGGACACTCAAATCAATGCTTTCCTTCAGTTGCAACATTCGCCTGTAAGAAATTATAAAACAAGGTGCTGAAAAACACCCAAGGTCATGAGTAAAATAGGGGAGCGCGGGGCACAACCTAAAGCGGGGTTAAATGTAACACGGACTCAAACCGGCAGTCTTTCTGCTCTTTTTCTCTTGTTGCCAGAAGACGGTCTCCCGCGAATTTGTGGAAAGTTTTGATTATATTTTGTGAAGATTCTGGACAAAGAGTGTTTTGACACCATGAAAGTAAATTTTTTCATCATAGATTTTTTTCGGTTTCTGGGTTGGATGTATACGTTTCCAAATCTAACTTTAAATTGCCTTAATCACTGTCTTGTTGGCTCAAACATGGCACCGTTTTGAAACATGTCAGCAATTCATAGAGACTGTTAACTAGGTTTAAAATATGTAATACACAGCGGGGTTAGTTGTAGCACAGTGTTACAAACAAGCCGCCAAGTGTACAATGAAAATCAAATGAAAACAGACCCACACAACTTTTCAGGTTTGAGTATACATTTAACTTTGTTGGACTTTCACAAACAATGTTGGAATTTAAAATGTTTAAAATTTAGTGTACTATGAACGATAACTTGTTTATTTATTAAAAATATGGCATGTTTTTAATGCAATAAACCCTTTTAATTTTTATTCTAAGCTCATTTGTATTATTATTACTGTTATTATTATTAATAATAATAATTGTACATGCAGCTGCCACACACACAAATCTAATTTAATTGCAATTACAATATTTATAATTTTATTTATTATTATTTATTGCAAAACTGTGCAGCCCTTTTCTACGTCTCTATCCATGATATTGATCCATAATAGAAGGATGATTGGATGAGGGATGGATATCTGTCTATACAGATGCACAAACAATATCAAACTATACAAATAAAATTGTACTGAATTATGTGTGTTACACACAAGTGTTACAACTAACAGCATATGGGGTAAGTTGTAACATTTGCACTTCTGTCACTTTCAGTCCAACTGTACGAAAATGGCAGGTCCTAGAATCCTAGAAAAAAAAAACTTTAAGTGCTCATTTGTAGCAGAGATGTATGTTGCTTGTGTAAAAAAAAAAAAAAAATCTAACCTAATTATTTTTTAATTAATTGAGCCAAAACCAAAATGCATTAGGTTGTGCCCCGCTCTCCCCTATATAGCTTTTAGTAATCCCAATGACCTTGCTGATCTTAAAGGGATACTCCACTTTTTTTGGAAATAGGCTCATTTTACAACTCCCCCAGAGTTAAACTGTTGAGTTTTAACGTTTTTGAATCCATTCAGCCGATCTCCGGTTCTTACCATTTTTAGCATAGCTTAGCATGCATCATTGAAGTGGAAAAGACCTAAGGTCTTTTTCCTTAAACAAAAAAAAAATAAAAAAAAATAAAATAAAAAAAAATCAACAAATCAGAATTGGCCATCAAGCCCTGCAGTGTAAATTTGGCCTAAGTAAGTGGGACGTGATTGTTTTTGCACTGTTTATGACAATGCAAGCCCCATATATCAGGCGAAATGAGTGCTTTCATTTTTCACAATCCTTCACCACAGCGCTGGACTCCCACTATGAATAGCTCGTCATTGACTCTGTAAACTCACCAGGTCCTCATGTTACCTTACCAGCTGAAGTCCCCGCACCTGCACAGTAAAGTGATTTTACTCAGTGCAAAGGACACAAGCTAGCATGCCATGAATGGAGAAGAACAAACAAGAGCACCTGACATCTGTGAATAACAGCTCTGGCTCTGTTTCACATTCGCACAGATTAGCAGAGCCGCCGATAAAAGAGACCAGGGCAGTCGGCCCGACCGGCACAGAGAGGTGCAGGCAAGCTTGATCAAAAGCTCAAATCTGCAGAAGCATTGTCCTGCCTTTTCACCGCTGTTTACATGACTCGTGTGTCAGCCAGTTTGACAGAGCATCGATAGCGGTGTGTTAAAACATACGCAAGGCCCATTTTACCTTCAGGACAGGCCGTATTGATTGCCATATGTCGCAAAAAAGTGTCTTTCGGTCCCTAATGTGTTGTCAAACCCAAACTCTACAGTTAAAGCATTTGGTTTTTAATTAATGTCTACAGCATAAACTGCATCATTAATGTTCATCATCTGTATAAATGAGCTGAAGATTGTCATATCTTTAACAATTCAATGTTATACTGTAAAGATGGCATCAACGCATGCCTGAGAAAACGCAGGATAAGATCAAGCTTTTCTGAACTGTTTCATGCCGTCTCAACAATTGACTTGTGCAACTCGGCTTGACGCCCTCTTTCTGGAGGAACGCGGCACACACACAGATCTGCGTCTTTAAACACATCTCAGGTGAGACAAAGGCAGAGAGACATATTTTATTCTCTGACAGGATGACAGCTGCTGTAACTCATCAGATGCAAATGTCCTGACCTGACATAAATCTGTGAGAAAAAATAAAACGTTATTATAGTCAAAAACAACAAGACTGATACAATCAACAAATAGCATCAAA